AAAAGAAGTGAGTTTTATCTGGATGAAACTCAGTACTCACGGTTACCCAGACAATCGCTCTGTTTACTTGACTTATAAGCCGTACTTTTTCAGCTAACAAATAATATTTTTCTTTACAATAAATCAATCAATAATACTTTCAGTCATGGGACGAACTGGGCAAATGAAACTCGATGAAACGTGCATTGAGGGCGACGGGTTTCAATCTCCGGTGCTCGCGCGGATCTTCTGTCGCGCGCGTCGACGCGTTGTCTCCTTTTCGGCCCCGCAGTTCACATGCCGTGTACGTACGTATCTGATTTTGCAAGAGGCACGGCACGGGACTAGCTAGCACCTGACGGGACGGGACAGGACGGTGCATGCAGTAAAGTTTCTCCTTGTGTCGCGTACGTGAATACATGTATATGAACACAATAATATTTCTAGCTTACATGTAGTGTGAATTGGGATTTGTAATCATTTTAATATATGCGCATGCCCACATGAATATTGGATTATTTAATATATTTTATTTTACATGATTATTTGTTGGCATGCAATATATTATAGTTACCAAAGTGGCTATATTTAGCTTAAATATATTTTCAAATGGCTACATAGTTTATAGGGTACATAGGATCACAACATCATGCATACATTAAGTGTCACAGTTTGTTTTGAAAACAGTGAAATGAAACCCTCCACCGAGAGAGCCAGTTTCATTTCTCAATTCAAGTCTGCAAAGCTGACGTGGCAGTCTTAAAAATTAGGAAATGAAACCCACCACCGCTAAGACATGCCTGCCCTCGCTGGCACAGTTGCACATGTTCTCAGATGAGCCAAAAGAGAGAAAAAGCCTACGGTCAATTATCTTGAGCAGTACTATCTCTATTTTTGAATTATTTTGTCTCTTCTAGTACAAACATTGGCTATGTACATAGATAAAACAATATATTAAAAAAATCAAAATATTTGGTAATTTGCAATGATGGGAGTACCTTTTCGGTTGGCATTATCTTGTGTTGGTCTTATTGGGCTGAGAACAGAAGCTCATGTCCCACTTCTCTGATTCTCTCCGTTGTTGCTGAATGAAGTGTTGGATAAGAAATCACACAAACATCGAAGTCTGAACGCAAGTCAAAGTTGTATTCATTTTATGATTGTACTGTATATGTCAGACGAGGTATTTATAGGGCCCTAGTCTTCGTTCTTTACGTAAAATAACCATTTTACCTCTAACTTAAATCTTTACAACCCTTTTTAACTACAATGGCGATGTGGTCATTTTACACTTCTTCGGTCTTCGTTCTTCTATTTGGTCGTCATTCTTCCAGGAATCTTCTACTTTTGACTTAGTCGATTCTTGCTTTGCTTCTCTTTGTCTTCGTTAGCCAGCAAAGTCAAATCCTTGATAGCGAAGTTAAATTTTTGTCATCGCTTTACTCCTGATCTCTCTTCCATTCCGGCGAAGTCGATTCTTTTTATACGAAGTTGAAATATCATCTTCGCTCTCCTTTTTCCTGCAGACAAATTTCTTTATGGAAACTTAAAGATTTAACTCCAAAGTTCGGGGCTGTGTTTCGTGACGAAGTTAAATTCCCAACATGAAGCCTCACGTGACCTATTCTTATCAGTTGGCGCAAAAAAAGACCTATTCTTATCAATCACCGAAACCACAAATTCACTGTTTGACATGTAAAAAAAACTCGATCTGTGGTGGCTAGACAGCCCGTGGGTATTCCAGTTTAAGAAAAAAATCTTCTCACGCAGATCAAGAAAACCCCCGAATTCCTGCTCCACTCATACACAACGGTATGAAATGTCATTTATTATATTAAGTTCACGAGCTTTTATATAAAATATATTTAGGCGCCTCGATGTTCTTAAATGAAAACATTTTTAACGACAGAGTTTTACGTCTCACCGATCACTACATCTAATCTAAAGGATTAGTAACTTGTGCTTTACAAGCTTGGATATATGGGCTAATATACAACCTTAATACCACGCTCACTTCGGATTATGAACTCGTGCACTTGAACAATAGTTATATATCGTCTTAATATTAAGATAGCAGCAGTTGCATTGACAATGTGGAAAATTTCCCGGAGGTAGGGACGGGAAAACTTTTCTGAAAAACAGAAACCCACACCACATCCGTAGCCCGCAGAAGCCCAGCCACGGCGCGCGTTAGCTGGGCCTGGAATATTCGACGCGCTTGACCTTGACGAGGCCCATCTATCCGTTGCACACCCCTCCGCGGAAGCCATAGCCTGGCCCTGGCGCGGCGGCCCCAAATCCAGGCGACCACACGCCGACGCCACTGGCTCCCCCCTCCGCTCCCAAAGCCCAGCCACGGCGCGCATGGCGGCTGCAGCCGCGCTCCGCTGCTGCTTCCCCGGCTCAGCAATCGGTAGTGGCTTCGTCAGGTCCTCTTCCTCAAGGCGGGGCCGAAGCGCAGCGGCCGTAGCGGCGCCGTCGCGGGAGGCAGAGCCGGCCGCTTCGCTAGGGGACCGTACCCGCGTCGACTTCCCCATCCTCCACCAGGTCACTCCTCCCTCCATCTCCGTTTCATCCGGCTGATTCTTGGGATACAGTTAAAACAACCTCAAACTTAGCAGTTAACTGCTTACAAGCCGTAAGTTTTTTTTTTGGTGGGTGAAAATGCAATCATGCTTACGACTTGCATTCTATTGCTATAAATTAAGGAGTTTGCATTTCTGGTTACCACAGTGTATTGCAGTTTTTGTTCCCTTTTTTGAATCATTGTCATAGGTCTTGGTCGGGGCCGGTCCTGAGGATTTGGGCGGCTAGAGCGAAACTATAGAGTGAGACCCCTTAAAAATAGACATTATAATATATAATAGTAACATATGCATATGAAATGTTACCGATAAACACATATAAAATCAATATTCATATCAAGCAATTTAATATTCATTGGTAAATAATGTTTGTGCGCAGATGGGTGCAGGAGTTCACGGTGTTTTAATTTGGCATTTAGGATATAACAAATAATGAGATCGAATAAACAGCAAAAGGTAGGAATAGCGTGGATAAAGCCACGTTGTACAAGCACATACATGAGCAAACTGTGTGCCTGGGATCAGCTACTATACAAGCACAGGCACACATATAAAGGCTGAGAAATTATACAAGCAGAAACGCACATTTTTTTTTAAAAAGACACATGTATACAGGTGTGTAGTATTAATAGAAAATGTTTCCTTGGATGTTCCCAACACCATATAATCAATGCTACAGTAGAAGAGGGCATATGCACACGCAAGAGTAAGACACAAAGCAGGATAAAAGCTGGGCTGCCATTGCACCTAGCCAGGCGGTAGGCATGACAGCTGCTAGAGTCCAGCACCCAATGAGACAGCCACAAGGTCAAGCCAAGCAGGCCACATACAGGATCTGCATCGAATGTCTCGCAAAAAAAAAGTGTAGGACATCCAGAAGCGTTGGATACATTGTCCTGTTAGCCGCTGGGACATCGAGAGGTATCAGACATGCTAGAGCTGGGTCGAACGGAAACAGGGGAGAAGCGTTGGAGATGATGAGGAGTTGAGGACCGGAGCCTTCTTGTCTCAGGCAGCTGGGGTAGCGCATCTGATTTCCAAGGAAATTGAGAGCACCAGAGAGAAGAGGATGAGGGCGACCGATTCTCTAGTCCCAGGTGGGAGATGATTACCTATGGCAAGGACTTTCAGGCAGCAGCGGCACCTCCGTGACAGCAAGAACAGAGAAAATAATGAGAGGAATGAGAGGCAGTGGTGGTTCCTAGCTGTGTGCGGTGTGCTTGTGTGGGGACTTAGAAGGGTTAGGGAAAGTCATGTTAGGCTGAGTGGGCCCGAACATGACATCCTAATAGCATTTATCTTTCTTTATTCCTTCTTTTATTTTTCTTATCTCTGCTTTTTAATAAACCCTATAATGTGTGATCGCAAACCTCATACTGAACAGATCGTCCCAAGCCATCGCCCTGAAAATAGTTGGTTGATGTGCCAAGTTTCAAACCATCATCCCGAAGAGGTATACCTCCCCACCTTCGTACCAGGAACTTATAGAAGGTGTCAATCCACATCCCTCGTACCTTTTCCTCAACCCTGTCATATGGGGAACCTTGTGACACTGGGTGTGAGTTTTTGTAGCCCATTGTTTGTCTGGTGCATGTATCAATGCTGCCGTGTGGATTTCCATCAGATTGGCCCCATTTGTGAGCCTGGTTATGTATTTCTTATTTTGATCACATTTTATTCCATAAATCACAAGTTAGGTCCATTTTTAATTGCTTCTTTTTTACAGTTATTTCAGTCAATGCAGCTGATGAACAACAACAATTGTTTTCTGTTACCTGTGATTCTATATTGCAAATAATAGCCTTAAGTCTGTTTAATACTAGCTTGGTAGACTGTGATCATTTATTACCATTGAAACTTGCAGGAATTTGATGGTGCCAAATTAGTTTGACAATGGTGCAACATCACAGAAACCTTTTAGTGTAATGAAAACATTAGATGAGTACTACCGATCGTACAATTCAAATGTGCATCGTGGTATTCATGCACTCAGGTAACTAAATACATATTTATGTAATTTCTCGATGCATGAACCAAAACTTTAAAATTCATGTTAATACTATCTTGAAATGTGTATTCACCGTTACCAGCGTCACTAATGTTAAAATCCAGGATATATGCTCTGCAGGACTTGCTCTGTTGTTTTTATTTCATTCTGTTAAGCTCTCCTATGTGCATTCTTCCTATACCAATTGTCGATTATATATCTATAGAATCATGTGATAACCTGAAATTTGATGATCTTAGCTTTTTCAGTAATATGTGCAAAATAATTCAACGAATGCTCTGTTGATAATCTGTCCATATTATATTATTATCATTTGGTCAATGTGCCTGCATTCATCTTTTGTTTGAGTTTTTGGTGTTTGTGCATCTACCAATGTATTTGTACACTAGATGTACCTTAACTGACTTGCTTATTTCATTTGGCATCAGCGCAAAGGCTACCGATGCATATGAAGGTGCCAGAAGAAAAGTTGCAAGTTTCGTCAATGCAGCTGATAGCAGAGAGATAGTTTTCACTCGTAATGCTACAGAAGCTATCAATTTGGTAGCATATTCATGGGGCCTATCTAATATAAAACAAGGAGATGAGGTGACTCATGTATTTTTTGCCACCGATACATTATGTTTTACTAGTTCACTGTACCTACTGCTTATGTTCATAGCTTCCTATAAAATTTATGTAACTGAAAAATGAAAAATAGTGCTTTTGTCAGTGTTTTGGCTTTTCACAGGCATCTATGAAAAATAAAATCTTTTATAATTCCTTTGCAGTCTGTTATTATGTCCATCTAATGAATGCTAGAGATAAATGTCAGTTTGTTGAATAAAAATTGTATCAAGCTGTATGATCTTGTTTATGTTCTTGGGGAACATGCAGTCTTTCTTTTACTTGGTAAGAACCATTCTCTCCTATTTTGTTGGCCAGATTGTTCTTACAGTTGCGGAGCATCATAGTGCCATTGTTCCATGGCAATTTGTTTCCCAGAAGACTGGTGCCACTTTAAAGTATGTTGGGCTGACTAAAGAAGAGGTTCCGGACATTGAACAGTTAAAAGCTCTTCTTTCAAACAAGACAAAGATAGTTGTTGTCCATCATGTCTCAAATGTACTTGGTAAGTCATTTTTTATTTGAAAGGAAAATTGGATGTTAGTGGGAGACTTCAACTTCTACAGATCACTCTCTGATAGAAATGAAAGTGGTGGTAACATGAATGACATCATGGTCTTTAATGAAATAATCAGCAATTTGGGCTTGTTAGAGATCCCACTCAAAGAAAGGAAATTTTCTTGGAGTAACGTGCAAAGGGTGTGTTTGGTTTGTGGAGTCACCCCATGCTTCATGAGGTGATGCATCATGAGTTCATCTCATGAATTTTAGTGGAATCAACCCATTGCTCATGCATATACTAATTAGCTTGTGGGGAATGAGGTGGTGATAGATCTACTCATGTCATTCCACAAACCAAATAAAAAAGTGAGTGAGAAGAAGATGGAACACCTTATTCCTCAAACCAAACACAACCAAAGTGAACCACTCCTAGAGCAAATTCATTGGGTTTTCACTTCAGTAAACTGGATCAGTGTCTACCCAAATACTCTTCTCCTTCCAATGGCCAGACCAACCTCAGAACACATCCCCTGCAAAATTCAAATTGGTCCATTCCTAAAGCCAAAATTTTCAGATGAAAATTTTTGGATTGAGCACCCTGTTTTTTTTTATACTGTTAGATCCCACTGACAAATGGATTAATTGGACCCATAGAGTCCTTGCCTCTAGGTCCTCTTCTATTCTGTTGAATGGCGTCCTGGCAGTCACTTTCACTGCAAGCGCGATGTCAAACAAGGTGACCCTTTGTCTCCCCTGTTATTTGTCCTTGCGGCTGATCTCCTGCAATGCATCATCAACAAAGGGTTCCAAGATGGCCTTTTTGAGCTCCCCATTCCCTCATATGATTTAGCTCATTTCCCATTGTCCAGTATGCAGATGACACACTCTTGATCATGAAAGCCTCTCAACGCGAACTCTTTACCTTGAAAGTCCTACTTGAATCCTTTGCACAATCAACTGGTTTGAGGATCAATTACAAGAAGTCTTGTTTGGCCCCTTTAAACCTCTCTGATGATAAGACCCAGCTCCTGGGCTCGTGTCTTTGGTTGCAAGCTTGAATACTTGCCTTTCACTTATCTGGGTTTGCCCCTAGGCACCACCAAGCCAAGAGTCGAGCACTTTAGTTTCTTAATGAACAAAACTGGAAGGAAGCTCACTGCCACCTCCAACCTGCTGACTCATGCTGGAAGATTGCAGCTGGGAAACTCAGTTCTTTCCTCCCTGCCCACTTCTGCAATGTGTATGCTCCAAATCCCAGTGACTGTACTAGATTATATTGATAGAGCAAGAAGACATTGTCTCTGGAGAGGCTCAAACTGTGATGCCAAAATGAAGCCTTTAGTAGCCTCCAAACCAAAAAGGAAAGAAGGCCTTGGAATAATTAACCTTAGAAGAAATGTTCTCAAAACCAAGTTTTACAAAAGGAAAGAAGGCCTTGGAATAATTAACCTTAGAAGTCAAAATAATGCCCACATTCTCAAACACTTGGACAAGTTTTACAACAAGAAAGAAATCCCTTGGGTCAAACTCATGGAATGCCCACTATTCAAATGGACAAATCCCTCATGCTGTAACTGATAAGGGCTCCTTTTGGTGGAGAGATGTTCTAAAGCTCTGTGATGTCTTCAGGGGAATTGCTACCTGCAAAATTGGAGATGGATCCACGGTACTTTGTTGGTCTAACCTCTGGAATGATAATATGATGCAACACAAGTACCCAAGACTATATTCATTCACCAAGAACAAAAACCCTTCAGTTGCTCAATTCTTGACGAACAACACTTTGAAAGCTCAGTTTTATTTGCCTATCTCTGTACAAGCTCTTCAGGAATATCAAAACCTCCAAGAGTACATTCAAACAATTCAAGTACATCCGGATTGCAAAGATTCTTGGCAGTACATCTGGGGAAACAATGCCAATACATCTTCTAGGTTCTACAATCTTCCCTACAAGAATGTCCAACCTCCTACCCCTTTCACCTGGATTTGGAATTCCAAGTGTTGTAACAAGCTCTTAGTTTTCAGTTGGTTGCTTCTAATGGAAGGGAACAACTACAATTGTGTGCTCTGTAACCCTGTAACTGCAATGTTGAAGAGACGGCTTTCCATCTTTTCTTCAGTTGTCCCTTCAGTCAAGCATGTTGGCAACACATTGGCATCCATGGGAATCTTGCTGCGAGTTTCTCCCAAATGATAGTTCAAGGCAAGCAACATTTCTCGAGTTCCTTCTTCATGGAATTCTTCATCATTGGCGCCTGGCAAACCTGGAAACTAAGAAACAACTTTATCTTTGATTGTGGTCGCCCCTCTTTTGATTCATAGAGACAGCACTTCTCCGAGAAAGCTTGGCTTCAGGCACATAGATTTAGTGACATAAAGAAACCAGCTTTCCTCTCCCCGCTGAGCCTCTTTGCTTAAGCTCCTGATCTTTCTTTTGCTTGGTTGTTGTACAGTTTTGTTTTTGTTGTCTTCTCCCTCTTCTGTTTGTTGTACAATTGCATGTTTAGTGGTTCTTTTTCTTAATAAAAGCTTACAGTGGGGGCTTCCCTTGCTGTATTTACGGTTCAAAAAAAAGCTTTCATTATATTGTAGTAATGACAGAATTATGATTTGGATAGATGCAATTTGTAGTTTCTTTCATACGCAATTAAGCTGAAATGAAGCCTGATATGATGATTTTTATGTTGTATATCAGTAGGTCTTTTTTAGTTGTAGAGAAGCCAAGTTTCTGACAAATGTTCTGTGATTGTATCCAACTTTAGTTTCTTGCTATTCCTATCAATTGATCTTGACGGCACAATTACTGAGTCTTATTCTACCACATTCCTTAATGATTTCCAGGTTCAATGCTTCCTATTGAGGACATTGTAACATGGTCAAAAAGAGTTGGAGCTAAGGTTCTTGTAGATGCTTGTCAAAGTGTTCCCCACATGCCAGTTGATGTTCAGAAGCTTGGTGCAGATTTTCTTGTAGCATCGTCACATAAGGTTTTCCTTATTAACCATCTGTTACTAATAAAACTTTTAGTAATGTTTGTATAGCCCGATAATTGACCATAAATTATGTGCTAATTTTCTCAGATGTGTGGCCCTACAGGCGTTGGATTTATGCACAGCACATTTGAGATGTTGTCATCTATGGAGCCTTTCTTAGGTAAGATACTGCAAGGTGGAAGGAGTTTTGTTCAGTCTCTGTTAGTGGGTAAATTCAGTAGTCAACATTTACTGCTGCAAGACAGCTTTGCTAAGCCTCAGATATATATTTGCTATTTACTTAGCTTCATAATGCTGATTTTGCTGCAGGTGGTGGGGAAATGATTGCAGACGTGTTCAAAGACAAATCCACATATGCTGAACCTCCCTCTAGGTGACGAACTCTTTGCTTTGATCTTTCTAGATCTTCCGCTGGCTGCCATCATAGCTTCTGGAGAAAGTACAGGCAGAGTATCTATTATGATAAGTCACTACACAACAGGGCACAATAATGCAGTCATTATAACATTGCCATGGCTAATAGCTTTTTGGATAGTGTTCAATGAGACACACAGTCCAAATACTAAACATCACATCCCACAGAAGTTTCTAATCGGAGATAGATTGATTTTGCTTTGATCTGAGCTAATGTTCTTCAGGTATTGAATTTTGATATGACACGCCTTGAAAACTACTGGATGGTAACATGTACCAGAATTATTAGCAAGCGACACATCGTTATTGTAATTTTTTTATGTCTCCCCTTGTTTTCTTATGTTTGTTGTTCCCTTGCTTACTGTATGGTCTGAAAAGATTTGAGGCTGGAACTCCTGCAATTGGAGAAACTATAGGATTGGGAGCAGCAATTGACTATTTATCATGCATTGGCATGGAGCAGATCCATGAATATGAGGTCCTTTTCTGTATCTTTGTGTCGTTCTTTTCTGAATCATTTGTTTTGCAATGTTTTTCTTCATTTTTGTTTGGCTTATTCTACCACTCAAGAAAGAGTAAGGAATCTTTTTTTTTTTTTGAAACGAAAGGAATCTATTATTGTGATGCACTCTCACTTCTGCTTTTTTTGCTGTCCAGAAAGAGTTGGGGACATATCTCTATGAAAGCCTTCTATCTGTTCCAAATGTCCGAATATATGGTCCGGCACCTTCCCAAACTGATCACCGTGCTCCTTTATGCTCTTTCAATATTGAGAATGTTCATCCTACAGACATTGCAGAAATTCTTGATCTCCAGGTATGTTGAAGTTTCAACAACTTGGTTTATACATTAACATGGTTTTTTCAAAAAAAAACACAGTGACTCCTCTTGCTGATCTTTGTAAAGTCTCTTCTTTCTCTGCTGCACTGCTTATCATTTACTGCAATTTGAGGATGTATAACATTCTAGACACACTAAAATCTATGATAAGCAGTAGCTCTTTTTTTCCCTATCTGTTCTTTGTGTCTCTAATTGTGTGTTATCTGTTGACTTGCACTGAAATTACTGCTACCAGTAACAGATATTTGGGTTAACTTTTTTTTATATATGATGCTTTTTCTTACTTCTGGCTTAACTAATCTTTGTCAGCACTGTTAGTTCAGTATTGATTTGGTGACCTTTTGTTTCAGCATGGCGTAGCAATTCGATCAGGGCATCATTGTGCACAGATTTTGCATAGGACCCTTGGTATCAATGCAAGTGCTCGTGCAAGTCTTCACTTTTACAATACAAAAGATGAGGTGGATGTCTTCATCCATGGGCTTAAGGCCACTGTAGACTTCCTTACGTCTGAACACTAGTGCAGTTGAATTAGTAAGTTCTCCATTTTTGCCAGTTTCCTCATATCTCGTTTGAACTGCTGTATCGCTGTATGATATAGTTGGAACAAAGAAAACATTCAAAATGTATACATATATAACTTTCTGCACTCTTTTTTGCTGTTCTTGTAAAATGAAATACAGAATTCAGATAACCTTTTAACCTTGTCTATATGAGAAGTTATGGGTCAAACTAAAATATATTCTACTGGTTTGTTAGGGATGAATTTGTCTCAACTATTTCAAGTTATTGAACAGTGTTTCTCTGATGGTGTTGATATGTGGGATAATTACTCATGCAGCAAGCAGCAGTAGTGCGTTTATATTTACAACTACCTGCATAAGTGATCTTTTTTTTCCTCTGCTTTCAAACAAAGTAGACCGACCTGTGTTACAAGAAAGGAGGGGGTATACGTGCATGATTTGCAGATCATGGAGTTCCTGTTCAAATAACTTGCAGCCACGTTTCACCGGTCCTTGGTTTTTGCTGCCTCCCTATGTTCTTTTTGGGGCCTCTGGGTTGACATACTTTTTCTAAAACAATCACTGCTAAAAGATAAAAAAAAAAACAAGGAATTCGTTTTGCCTGCTTGAATTTTTTTATAAGGAATTGAATCTGTTGAAGCTGCATTGTCGGTACCCATGTTGTCAGCGTTTAGTATATCTGTTCCAAGTCGAGTAATGCATGGCAGATTCTTTTGGATATGAATATGCATGATCTCGATTTTCCAGATTGTATTGTACATACTTAACTGCTGAATTGCCAAATCAGAGGGCACAGTCCGATTGCTTTATTTATTGTCACGCGACGTAGATGGGTGTTATGATTTGCTTAAAACCACATCAGGAGACAGTCAACACTTTTTGCCTTTTGTTGGTGTAGTAAGTTGTAACTTGGACTCTGTTTCAAAAAAAAAAAAAGTAACTTTGACTCCTGTCGTCAGACGTGAAGAAGCAACGTTTGTCTAATGAAACTGAAGAAGCAACGTTTGTCTGACGAAACTGAAGAAGCAAGAAGTTAAGGGAGTTAACGGATGTGATGTATCGCTGTATTTTTACTGTCATCAGATATTTTAGTAATCCATTTTAAATCGTTAGTTATTATGTCTTTTCTAGATATATAGATTTTATTATGTATCTAGAGCAAAATATATATATCTAGAAAAGCTAGAATGGCTTAAAATTTGAAACGGATTGAGTATTATTTATTTATCTTTGCATTGAAGAGAGTACTATTTATTTATCTTTGCATCCAGTTAGTGAACGGTTCAAACAGAAAATTTATACTTTACGGTGCTGTAACTGAAACGTGGATCAGAACCTGATGCCGTAATAGTGATGCAGTATCGATGGCATATTTTCCCAAATCATTTTCTAAAGGTAAAATTTGGCTATTATTAAAGAAAAAACGTCTTCGACAGACTATGTAAATGACTCTCTAAATTTACTAGCTCTTTATCCCACCTCATTCGCTCTCTACTTTTGTATAGCCTACCTCATGCGTCTCAATTTAGATAGTATGTTGGAGTAATCTAGTTTTTTTTAAGTGAGATTCATTTTAGAGAATAACTAAATCACTAAATTTGGGTAATCATTTTGGCTAATCTCTTGAGATGCCACTCCTCTCTGAGGGTCCCACTTTACTACATAAATTCTATCAGTTTTCCTGTGACTCTTGAGAATCCTTCTAGGATCTTGACAACTCCATACACTGTGAGCCCAAATCCAAATTAGCAAACGTTTGCCAGACTTAACGTGCGGACTATGTGCGTGGCACAGCTCCAGCTTCAAGAAAAAAAAAATCTAATGCTAGATCTGTATTTTGTAGACTAAATTAAAGCGGTTTATATATTTATATCTAACGTTAATTATAAATGAAATGAATTATGTAAATGTGCTTGAGATGTCTGTAGCTCCATATCTAGGATTTCCTAGAGCTATAGATAACCAACTCTAGGAAATCCACGGATTTTTTAGAGGTAGAGCTCTACTAAGTACTCCCTCCATTTCAAATTATAAGTCATTTCAAGAATCTTAGAGAGTTCAAACCATCTCAAGTTTGACCAAAATTATAGAGAGAATTATAAAGATTTATGACATCAAATAGGTATACTATGAAAATATAGTTAATGAGAAATCTAGTGATACTTAGTTGACATCATAAATGTTAGTTACTTTCAAAAAAACATCATAAATGTTAGTATCTTATCATATAAGTTTGGTTAAACTTGAGATGCTTTGACCCTTCAAAAATCTTGGAATGACTTATAATTTGGGATAGAGGACCGAAGACAACCCATGACTTTCCTTTTTTGAAAAAAAAATGTTTCTTCAAATTTTCATTTTTAGAAAGTTATATTCACAACTTTTATGCATAATATTTTGCATAACATATATAACTTATCACCATAACTTCTAACCATAATTTTCATTATTTTTTTTTACAAAATTATATAGACAACTTATCTTGACAATTTATCTACATGACCTTTGGAACCCAACTTTATAAAAATGGAAAGTTACAGAAACAATTTTTTTTCAAAAAAAAAGAAAGTAGCGGAGGTTAGTCTGATGGTTTGCTAACTATAAATCAAGCAAACGTTTGATAATTAGTGGAGTCGGTGCACGGTTCTGGACAAAACGTCCCACATATATGTACAATACTACAGTGCAAATACAAAACTTATTTTCGAAGAGATGGGAGAGAAAAAAACAGAAGCAAGGTAATTTATACTTCTAATCTGTATATATAGTTCCTGTACGTGTATGTCCTTTGCTGAATAATAAATCCTAAGAAAATCTTGGTTTCATGGAACGAGTACGTTACTCTTGTCGTCTCCCTTTTGAGAGGTTAGAGTACTTGAGCTCCTCATGGACGATGACGACAACGATGAAGTGGCCATGACAGATGAGTCGAACCCTTGGCTTTGCAACAACGCCAGCATGCTCATGCCCATGTGAGTCGGCATCGTCAGCTCTGGAAGCGGCATGTCCCCAGCTAGGTACTGCATCACTGTTCTCATGCTTGGCCTCACGCTGGCCAATGGATGTGAGCACAGCAACCCCACCCTCAATGTCAGGCTCAACTCATTCACGTCATAACCTCCTTGAATTCTGGGGTCCACTACCTCATCAATCAGTGACTGATCCTCCTTGCGCCAATGCTCAAACACCCAATCAACAAGCAAGTGCCGATCTCCATCTACGGTCTCCTCGACAGGTCTTCTTCCAGTCACGACCTCGAGAAGGAAGACGCCGAAGGCGAAGACATCGGTGAGAGGGGACGCCTTACCCGTCAGCGCCAGCTCCGGAGCAATGTAACCAAAGGTGCCGGCCACAACGGTGGTATGCAGCAGCTCAGCATCATGGCTATACAGCCTTGCGAGGCCGAAGTCACCAAGCCGGGCATTCATCTCGCCGTCGAGGAGAACATTGCTCGCCTTGACGTCTCGGTGGATCACAACTTGCTCCCACTCTTCATGAATGTAGAGCAAGCCTGACGCAACGCCCTTGATGACCTGAAACCTCTGTGCCCAATTCAGTAAAGCACTGTTCTCGTCGTGGGTGTACAGATGCTTCTCAAGGCTACCATTTGGCATGTAATCGTAGACCAGAAGAAGCTGATCCTTGAGCCGGCAATACCCAAGCAGCTGCACGAGGTTGCGGTGCCGGAGGCGGCCGATGGTAGCAACCTCGGCAACGAACTCCTTCATCCCCTGCTCCGATTCGTGACACACCCTCTTCACGGCGACCTCCATGCCGGAGGTGGGGAGCACCCCCTTGTACACCTTCCCAAACCCTCCCACGCCAAGCAAGTTCTTGTCCTTGAACCCATCGGTGGCGTCAAACAAATCCTTGTACGGGAGCCGGTGCGCCCCGAACTCGATCTCCCAGTCTTCGCGCAACTCGATGTACCTGTACCGGCGCCGCACGACGAAGAGAACGCAGGCAACCATGGCGATGACGATGGCGAGCGCGCCGACGGCTACCGGAAGAGCTATCGCCAGTGTCTTGGACGAGCGAGATGACCCTGAGTTTCTTCTGTCAGGTAGCGGCGGCAGTCTGGCCATGTCGATGGCCGGAGCCGGCCCACACACGGCGAAGCTCCAGCCGAGCACGTAGTGGAGTGTGCTTAGCTTCCCCGTCGATGACGAGAAGCCGACGTAAGCCACGTCGTCGGCGATCACCGTCGAGAGGTCGACCGTGGCCGAGACCAGCGGCTTCTTGGGCCTCTCTGTCCCGACAGGCGCCAGCGTGACGTCGATCCGCGTGGCGTCGCCGTCGTAGTCCACCCACGCCCGCATGACCTCGCCGCTGACCAGGGTGAGGTTCCTCAGCTCGCCGGTGCGGTCGTCGTAGTAGCCGGCGCTGGCTGCGTCGACGGAGACGAGGCTGTTGACGTCGACGCCGACGTGGTTGTCGTCGATATCGTGGAACTCGGGGCTCTGGATGGTGTCGAGCTCCACGGCGACGATGTGGTTGTGCACACTGCCGTTGCTGGAGCTGTTGAGGAAGCCGATGTAGTTGCTGGCCATCCCGGAGGAGAGGTCCTTGGACGGGGCGACGACAAGCGCGAGGCCGTGGCCGCCCATGCCCGGGGTGATCGGCACGATGCCGAACACGAACGAGGCCGAGAACGACCGGACCGCCGCCGCCGCCTTCGCCTTCTGGCCACCGCACAGCGGCGCGCGGAGTTGCAGCGGCGTCGGGTGGAACGCGTGGCCTTTGCTCAACGCCGTCTCGCTGGTCAGCTGGAGGAGGCCGCGCGGCGTCACCATGGCCGCGCCGTCGAGGGAGAGGCTCGCGCCTGAGAAGCTGGAGTAGACAAACTTCTCGCCGTCGCTGCTGCTGTCGCCGGCGGCAAAGGCGGATGCAAGGTGGACGCCATAGAAGAAGAGGAGAGGTAGCACGCGCTTGGCTTCAATCATATCGGACTCGGACGGAGTGAAATGAGAACACGTACAGATTGTACTAAAAACTTG